TCTGAGACAGCATGAGTGCCATGCGATTTCTTTGTTCAGTCAAGGCAGTGCTGTGCACTCCCCAAGTTTACTCTTTCCCGAGGTTCGAAAGAAGTTCTCAACAAACACGGAATATACTCTGATATACTTAGAAAATCAACGGCATAAATATGGCTCAGCACATGATAGCTTTTCCAATGTCATCTAGGTTCAACTCAAAAGATACCTCATACAAATCCCGATTTAAATCACTTATCTAAATATTGTGTCTATGTTACAAATTCGATTCACTAATTGACCACATTAAGAGATTGCAACATGCATTTGTTATGATATGCATAATATCAAACTACTAAGGCTAAGGTTGCTGAAAGAGACCAAAATTGTAATGTCGCATGTAAAATCCCCTCCATTACTTCGTAATCACCAACGCAATTTGAGTTTAAAGTTAAGCATTCAGGTGATCCTCCATCTTCCGGCCTTCTTATTTGTGTTAAATAGAAGAGGAATAACGGGAACCGGCCAGATATGCGATACTAACCCTTTCAACACCTGCAATTATCACTTTAAATGAAATCGAATTTTCTAACGTACGCGTTAAAGAATTCACTTGAATTTAGCAACGAATGTTGAAATTGAACACACGTAATTTTTACAAAAAGTGGAATACAATAAATGCCGCAAACAGTTTGGTTTGCCCCTTAACGGAAACCCAATAATTAGCACCCGACAAATTACCCACAATACCAACCTTTCCTGTTACAAAGCTTCATAAGTACATTCTTGTTATAAATACTTCTTTTATTTTTTTACAAAATACTCAAAGTTTTACGTATAAAGGCAAGGTATGAAACTTGCTCAATTAGCAACGTTGTTAATTGCCCAGTAAGGAATGGCATTTGGCAAAAATGCAAAAAACAAACAGAATGGTTCCAATCCTAAAAGTCGGAAACAAGAGCATTTAACATCAAATTATTGACAACAAAATTAAAAAGAGGATATTCAGTCAAAGATTACGCAATAAAAATAAAGAGTAACGCAGATGTAATTTCGCGGTCTTCGCGTTCAGTTGTTTTAAGCATCTCCGAACATTTTCCAAAACAGTTGGAGGACGTACAATCAGGTTCGTCACCTAAGTTTACTTGGGAAGTGACTAGGAGAAAAAGCGAAATTTAAAAATTATTTAATAAACGGCGGCTATTGAATTAAAGCAAATATATTAAAACACACCAACGCGCTGTGCTTGCTCAATACTAACTGCATCTAAAGTGAGAATTCGAAACATTAGAAATACCAATTTTAACAAATCAAATTATCGAAGAAAACAACTACCTGTGTACATGAAAAATCGTCTAACTTACTGAAATTCACCACTTACTCTAGTCGCTAAGACTTGCGTTTTGGAAACAGTTATTGCAATTTACCTTCGTATTTTGGTGGAGGTTCGGTTAACGAGACTCCTGAGATATAAAGGTGATCATGTAATCTTGAATATTATATTGAAAAGTAATACTAGAAAATTTTCTTTCAAAATAGAACAATAGGGAAATTCAAATTAATAATTAAGAAAAATAAGGTAAGAAATAAAAAAATGCATAAGACTTCGAATACTAACTCCACATATCAGGAAACGTATTCGATTTACCTATTTGGCTGCATGGGGGTATCTCGTTTGAATCTACAAAACAATGAAATTGATTTACGTTCTGATGCACTCTAGTAAAATGCGCATATAAGCACAGAACCTCACGAGTTGGAGCAAAATTATAACAGTTCAACTGCAAATACCCAAAGCAGAATTTGTTATGCTTACCCCTATCCAAATTGACTTTGCCCATTTATAGGACTAGCACCTCGAAAACTTGCAAAACCGCCAGGCTGCTTGGCCTCGTATATATATGTATATTTATTATCTACAAGGCCACTAGTGCATTGAATTGAAATTTATAAACATCATTACGTAATATAAAATCCCTTAAATTCTTACCCATAGACATTAAAGCGCTTATTTTATACTATGTATTTTTATTTAAATAAATTAGTTGTAAAGCCAAACTCTATTGACTATTTATATTTTTAGAAAATCTTTGAATATCAACATCAGTTTGGACGTTATCATTAATGCTTAAAATTTAATAAATATATTCTTCAGTCAATGAAAAGACTGACTAGCGGAAATCACATCGTTCTTGCTAGATACATTCTAAGTCAAATTTTAGCTAATTGGAACTTGAATTTTATGATGCAAAGTTGTCATACTTGCCAGTTAAAGTAATTCACCACTTGCCAAGTTTTGGCTTCTTCAATTTACAAAAAATGTCAAATGGAAAAGCTTGCCAACAATTGCGTTATCCTTAAAGAAGATATCACCTTCCACTAAAGTACAAATCTGAACATTTCCATTACCTTAAGTTTAATGTTTCTAATCAAATAATTTATATGACTGCTAAAATGACTATTTTATTCCATGCGGCATCACGTTGAAAATCTCTTAAATTTAATTTAAGTGATTTTTCATTCCGCTACTGATTCTAACGTCTCCAAATCTATTTGTCACAAATTATGCACAGTCTTGCAAAAAATAGCTAATTATGAACTATTAATAATAAATTGTCAATCAAAACATTCTTGATAAAAATTTGCTCCATGTTATCCAATACACTTGGTTGGAAGTTGTTTGTCTAAACACTTGAGCATTGAGTTGGCCTCGAATCAATTGATTGTCCAGACTGTTCATGATGTTACTTGTTGAATGAGTCTTTATGAGAGTGATCTCAGAGCACTTCGAATCTGAGTCGATTAGGTTTAGGTAATTGGTTCTTCAGGTATGTCGAGGAAAACGTAGATCATTGGGTGAATATGAAACCTTATATTGGGAATGAGCATTGAGGGATTCTGGAGTGAAACGAGTGCAACGTTTGTTTACTCATGCCTGCATTTTGTGTAGCCTCATTTGATACTGTTACCTTGGAATGAGAAAAAAGCATATCAAGCCGGGTTACTTTGTGCCTTTTGCATTTCGTCCTTACACCACTGCCACTAGCTTAAGATGACGAATGAGTATTGGTTTAGCTCGAGTATTTGATTTACATTGTGATAGAGTAGATAAAGTGTGGGGATTGGTTGTTGCTCTGTCGCAGTAGACTCGGAAGCAAATAGTTTTCAAAAAGACTTTACTTATGTGAGACTCCATAGTGTGTTTGAGTTTATTTCCTTCTAATCTACTCCATGCTGTTGCTACTATTTTGTGTTATCATTGGCCACTAAACCTGAAGGCCAATAGAATTCACCATCGGGGTTATGATTCAAAAGGAGATGGCGAACAATCTCTATAACCTTCCCTTTCTATTGCCCTCTCAGTACTTAACTGTCCTTAATTCACTATGCCGCAAAGATCGACTCAGAAGGTGACTGTAAACATTCCTCAATTCGCAAAAAGGAATCTCCGAATTATTGTGGAAAATACATAACATTCATGACGAAGCCCAAAAGTGAATCGAAGGCGAATTTCCTTTGTTTTACATTAAACCATTTCAGTAAATAGGGGAAAGTGTGGCGGTACGTTGAAATGTCTACCATCAAAATAGGGGCAAATAAGTAGACAGATCTGTCAGACAAGTGAACAATTAAACAGGTTAATCCACTTAACAATGCCAGAGTTATCAATGTTTAAACAGCGGTATTATTACTCTATGCCTTCACTACAAATGGGTGGCAAAATGCTCATGGTTAAAGGTCACGTGATCACCTCCTATTTTTCCCCACGGACGTAAGTTCAATTATCAATTAAGTGCCCTCTATGCAGGTTGGATAAGTGAAAACTCGAAATTGCCTTCACTTCAAGTGAGGAGTGTGAAGATCTATATGAAATTGCATTTAACCGACTCCCTCATTCCACTCGGTTCATTTAACTGCTGAATTTACAGTAGTTCTCAGGTGTTATAGAAACAATCGTAGTCAATAGCACTACTTCTGTTAGCTTTGAAAAAATTCTTGCTGAGCATAGAAAATTTTAAAGAGGAAATACCCCTGCAGTTCCTTCATTTTTCTTGAAATCTAGAAGGATGTAACAGGAAGAACGTATAGACGACTCTGATGCGCTCCTGATTAAATCTATTTTGAAATCTCTACAAATAACCTTCACATGGTCTGAATAAGCTGCGAATTCGTTCAAGTTTCTGTATCTGTAGTTGAGTATCCAACACATTTCACGAATTATTGTGCATAAATGACGTAAAAGTTTATATACCTTCTATATCGTGTTTTAAAATATCTTTCCTGCTAAATTTTATTTATGTTATCATTTCTAAATGTTCAATAGTGCGGAGGTAATCAAAAAATCGATTTCAATATAAAGGCTCAATTAATGGTGCAAATGTGGGTTTGTCTGTCCATAAGACTTGTCCTGTCTGGTCAATTCTATATAGAATTTCTCTTTTCCCCACCCCCTCCCCCACTGTTCCTACGCCCTGCCCCGCCCCTTTCCCAACCTCACCCCTCCTCGCTCTCGTGACAGAAACTAAGATATAAAAACTTGTCACCAATGCCAGCAGTCCATCTCTACGGTAATATACTACTTTATTCGGGTTGGGAAGACCAATCTGTATCCCGAATATTTATTTATATCAAATGGCAGGCGTTTTGTTGGTTATCATTAGCCCTTTAGTTGACCTCAGGCTTCACAAAGGGGGAGGGAACATCAAAGTGAATAAGTCGAGAGGGGGGGGACAGAAGAGTGTTTCAAAGACGAAGGTAGAAAAGGTAGAAAAAAAGTGAGGTGAGTACTGCGGAAGTAGTCGAATATGACATACAGTGGGGTCATCGCAGTTTGAAGTCAGAAGTCAACTGCCAGGTAATAGACTTTTTTTGTCGTATGCGTATACGCTGCCCAGGGTGCACCACGTGGAGGCAAGTCTATCGCACACCCCGTATCCCGAATATAAAGGACCAAAATACTAACTGTAATGGAATTAATCTTCGCCGATGTGCCCATTAGTTAAATTTGGTGAAGAAATTCCACATCACTTTATTAGAGAGAACCAGCGAATCATGCTCCAAATGGCTACATTACCGTTCAGCAGAGCTATGTAAGCAGGTGTAAAGCCCGTAGTCTTGTGCACCTTATGTACATCAGCACCTAAATGCAAGATTTAATACAACAAATTTCTGCTGAAAAGATGGTAAGTGGAATGAGTGATATTCAATTTACCGGCACTTAGTAGGAGTTCGGCTATTTCCTCGTGGCCCTGTCGAGCTGCATTCATGAGTGGAGTGAATCCTAGAAGGTCCTCTTCATCGATATCGCCTCCATGTGTTATGAGATAGTTGAGAATCTTCCTGTTTCCACAATTTGCGGCATAATTCATTGCCGAGAATTCGGCATTTTGGGATACCCCACGATGTAACAACTCCTGCACAAGTTCCAGGCAATTAAAACTAATGGCTTTAAACAACAAGGTGTTGAGTTCTTTCCTCCGATCATCCATGGGATCAACTTTCTCCAGTAACAACAGTATAATGTCTAATCTCCACGGTTTCTACGAGAAGGAGTGAAGTGAGAGAATTAACAAGATTGATGCAAACGATGAGGTGGGATTTTGAAATCAACAGGCTTTAATCACTCGAAGCCTTATTTTGTTTCCGTCTAATGATGAAATGAAATAAATTGCAGGGGTATACTCCACGTCATTCCACGGTGCTAGAGGCTAACTTTAGACGAGGCAAGTGGATGCTGCATTTTTAACGCCTGATGAAAGGGAGCATTTTATTAATAAAGGTTAACACTGAAGACGAAGTCATTAACCAGCCCATTGTTAGAATTGAGTACCCTAGACAAAACACCGTGCCTACATCTATGCACTTTCCTTTGACAATAATTCATCAGTATCTTGGACTCACTCCTCTGAGAATCTTGCCCTGAGGGCGAATACTTTTATTACCAAAAAAACTTTGCATTTTCGTCTGCAAAGTTGCAATAAACTCCTTCAACTTGGTGCCCACATCTGTCATGTTTTGACATACTATTAATTCCCATATTTCAATAACCGTCTTATTCTCTTACTTTTCATCGCTCCTTTGACTCGAATTAAACAAATCAACTGCCCATCCGGGTGGGCATCAATACGCAGCCAACTTATCACCTCTGCTGTGACATGCCACGTCTTGACAAACAGCTTTTCCACCATCAAACAGAGTACAATATGTCAAGGTCTTAAACAAATGAGTCGAAGTATTAAAGAAGAATAGAGAGTAATTAAGACCCGAGGTATGAAATGCCATGCAGTTGGAGATACCTACCTCCCTCGTTTCTTCTATCATACTCTAATTCACCTCTTCTACCTTGTTCTGACATCCCTTCTTGTGCATATCAAGGTTCCTGTCGATTAAATATAAAGTAGGAAATGACAAGACTCACTCTCAAGGTGGCATAATGAAGGGCTGAAAATTCGAAATCCGGCCACTTGGTGAGGAATATTTTAGCCCCATAGTCGAGGAGTACACGAACCACTTCAAGATGCCCACTTCGACATGCCAACATGAGAGGAGTTTCTCCATCATTGTTTACAACATCTATGATGGCATCTTTTTGCAGAAGCAGCTCTACGCTTTCCTCATTTCCTTTTTCAGCAGCCACTAAGATTGCTGTTTCGCCATTGGTTGTTTCTACGTTGACGTTGGCTCCACGCTCGAGCAGATAATTCAAATCTCTCAATGGATTTCCATTCGTGATACACGCTATTAGCGGCGTTGTGCTTCCATCCTCATCAAACTCACTGGTATTTGCCTAAAATTGTACAATGCTTACACGAGTGGAGTCGCATATGTTCGATGAAGTGGACTATCTCTTGAAATTAACTCATTAACTTACACCTCTATCAACAAATATTTTGATATCTTCAATAGTTCCATACAGAATGGCCTCGTGTAGGTTTTTTGGTTCCCGTTTTCCGTTTATACCCATGGTGTTGCCTTAAGTTAAAATGATTTCTGATAACGCCCTGTATTCAGGACTTGATTAATAGTCCATTAGTACTCGTTCATGCTTTATATGAGTAAAGCCTGTTCAGATAAGTGTTTGCGAAATTGAGAATCAGAGACATGGATGTCGGGTTGAGCACCATTTCCGAATCATTATGGTGCTCGAACCTTCAAACCTCAAATATCATTCTATTTATAGCTATTTATTTGACTTTGAACCTAAGTCAACAAATGCCCGTTTTCTGAATGCTTCAAACCTGTCTTCGTTATGAGCTTGACAGTTGGCCTAATGAGCAAGAATTGGGTGATGAGGATGCAGTTTAGAAAAAAATCATGCTATTTGATCTTGAAAAAATGATATAGTGTAAGAAATGATTGGCATTGACCACTAGGGAGGTTCAATGGTGATGAGTATGAAAGTCAACCTGTCACACGAACTCAAACCATTTGCCTTAGTGATAAGGGCCTCTTTCAGTAATTGAACCAAGTTGATCTCGTCTGTGAGATTGGACAACGAATTACTACCGAAAAATTGTTACTTCACTCTTAAAACAGCCTTTGTTTTAAATTGGCACTTCAACTATCCTGAAGGCAGAATCGGCTAAGAAATGCAAATTGAAATTCGAACACCTGTGTTTTCTATGTTTAAAGATCGAATCTACCTTTTCACATTTCACTAAAGATCCCATTTACAGATTGTATAGCACCTTTTTATTCAAATCACTCTAACATATATATATATTTCAAATGGCAGGCTTTATGATATTTATCATTAGCCCTTAAACTTGGACTTCAGCTTCCCCTAAGGGTGGGGGGGGGGGGGGGTACATTTATAGCAGTTCATTAGCTGTCTTCTTGCTTCCCAGTATCTCTAGGTTTCCGTCGTTGTCTTCAGGGCTGGACACCGAAACAGGTGGGTCTTCTCCATTTCCTCCTGTAGGTTACATACTAGTTACATACTAGTTTACTAGTAGTTTAAGTGCACAATTTAGGGCACTTTCTGTCCTCTCCTGAGCGTTTTTCTTAGGGGCGAAATACCATAGAACAAGATCATCTGCATAAAGTAAGCACTTGATGCCCGTGACTGTCTGTACCAATTCGGCTATGTCATTGATGAAGACATTGAAAAGAGTGCAGCTTGTGACAGCTCCCTGTGGAAGGCCTGTTTGTAAAAGATTTGATTTTGATAGAGCATTTCCATATCTGACTTTACATGATCTTTGTCCAATGAATGCTTTTATCCAGTTTACCAAGTTATGCTTAATACCAATCGTTGCCAATTTTAGAATTAGCTTCTGTTTCCATACTAAGTCATATGCTGATTTAAAATCGTCGAAAACAGCCATAAGGGTATTTCTTGCATCAAGGGCATCTTTGATTTGTTGGCAGAAAGTGGCTACTTGTTGGTGAGTTGAACTTTGTGGCCTAAAACCGGCATGTTCACTCCTAAGAATATTGTTGGTCTCAAGGAACCAGGTCAGCCTTCTATTAACCATTCTTTCCATAAGTTTAGCCAGCACGCCAGCACGCTTGTGGGAAGACAGGCCTATAGTTGTCAAAGTTGCTAGGGTATTTGCCCATCAAAGTTGCTAGGGTCTTTGCCCTTTTTTTAATACTGGTATTACAATGGCAACTTTCCATTGGTTAGGTACGAGACTGGTCTCCCGGATTTTGTGTTGGGAATGCGTTAACATGGTTTCGTTGGCTTTTGGTCCCATTCTAATTAGAAATTCCGGATGAATACCGTCTTCGCCAGGAGACTTCTTACACTTTAGCTGTTTTATCGCAGCATTAAGTTCGCAAGGTCGGGATGGTTCAGTAAGTACATTATTTGGTGTTGTGTCCTCCTTTATTTCACCCAACTGTCTTACTTGTATCTTTAAATCCCTTGAAGATTTTCTGACAAAAGGGTTTTTCTTTTACTTGTGGGAATAGAACTTCGCAAAGCAGTTAGCTATTTCGTTGTCAGTGGTAAGCAATTTGCTGTTTAAGCGTATTGGTTCTTTCTTGGGTCTTTCCCTGTTGTTTTGCAGGTTTCTCAGAAATTTGAAAGTACGTTGGCTATCACTTTGGTAGTTGATATTTGGGATGAACTTGTCGAAAGAAGTGCCTTGCCTTAGGACAGCTGATTGTCGTCTCCTGGCTTTTACGTCTTCCGTTCTTCCAGTCAGATCAACAGTGTTGCGAAGGGCGTCCCTCTTTCTTTTCAGTTCCTCAAGGTGTTTAGACCAAAACACTCGATAGTGTTTAGTCTTGCCTCCAGGAATAGTTTTCTTTGCATATCTGATCATAATATTCGTGATATCAGTGCAAAGTTTGTCAGGATGTTGGTTGAAGTTGAGGGGACTTGTGTGAAGTTCATTCTCTAAAAGGTTTGTGTATCTAGGCTAGTCAGCCTTCTTGAAGTTCCATGATAGCTTAGTTGGCACTTCCCTTGTCATGCTTTTGCTGCCGATGGTAATACTAGCAATGACTGGTTTGTGGCTAGAACCAGGATCGTCAATTATTTTTCGGCGTGTATGCTCGCTGATGTCGCTTAAAGCCAAGAGCAAGTCAGGCGTTGTTCTGGTTC